TAACCCCGTCTTGGATTTGTAGTTGTAGAGTTGCTTTTACAAGGTCTGGCAGTGTGGCTTTGCATTTGACCATTGGCATGCTTCTCCAGTTATCTGACTTTAAGTTCTCCTCACCAGAATCTTGTAAGCAAAGTTAATGGAAGCTACCATGTAAGTTTTCTAGTACTATATCTTGTTGATCAAATAAATATTTCTCCAGGAAATGCATTGTCCTAGACAATGAGGAATAGTAAAGACAAAAGAAAAATAACCTACTCTCTTTTGGAAAGTCAGCACCTTCTGTCTTGTAAAACCAACAAGTAAACTAGTGTGTTAACTAACCATAGATCCTGAGTAGTTGGATTTCCTTTCTCATTTTCAGCTACTAACTTCATGTGCTTTTGCTGACCCCAGTCAGCTTCAATTTAGAAGATGTATTCTTCCCTGAGCACCTTTTCTAAGAAATTCCTGTGTAGTATGTTATGAGATTCAAAAGAAGGAGCAATCCATCCAGCTGAAGTCTACTCAGGGAACTCATGGAGGAGGTAAAATTAAGCCCTGCCCTTTTCTAGAAATGTGTGAACAAGAAAGGAAGTTCTTGCTTTAATGACAGATGACTTTGCAAACATCTGTGAACCTTCAGAATTTTGTAAAAAAGGCAAAGTGTTATTTGCATGTCAAATTTCTCATAGTTAACATTAGTTTTCGGTAGGTTAAATTAAAGTTACTGAATTGTTTCTAGGCGTTATATGTATACTCTGTGTGACAGAGACTCTTTCCTATAACTTCTGTATTTAAAATGTATATACCTGTTTTATTAAAATGTTGTTTGCAAAGGGGCCTCCCTGGTGGCGCAACGGGTTAGGATGTAGCACTAGCTGTAGCCGCTTCAGTGCAAGTTCGATTCCGGGTCCTGGTGGTGACCCATATAGCGCAGCAGACCTCTCCTGACCTGTCCACTGTTCCCCTCAGCAGTGTACTTCATCAGTCGGCCTGTTCTGCTCCCCACTCTGTCTCTGGTAAATCCTCTCACTGCTCCTGCACCTCTGGCCTGTATCCCAGTTTTGTATGAATATATAAATCTAAAAAAAAAAAAAGTGTTGTATGCAAAGGTAGAGACACCAGAAGGCAGTGTAATGCCAGATCCAGTGTTCAGTATGAGCTCGAGCCTGGTGTCTTAGCTCCAGGGCCTCAGAGTTTGTCTCATCCGTCTGAGGCCTTTCCTGTTCTGGGTTTCTCTTTACTATCTGAGCTTGATGCTGTCCTACAGAGCAACTCCTAGATACCAACTCCTGTTCAGAAAATGAGATCAAAGACCACAAAGTTCTGTTTAAAAAAAGAGAGAGAAGAAGCCTAAAATGACAGAATAAGAACCAGCTCAGGGCAGGTGGGAGAGCATCACCAATCAGAGTCTGAGCCACATCCCACTATTAAAATAAAAGGGGTTTCATGACTTGCCTCTAGATTTTTCTGTCTTGTCAGTCTGACCTCAGTTCAATCAGTATTATAGTAAAAGTTAAGAATATTTCAGTACTGTATGATTTGGATAGAAATAGGATGATAAGACGTTCTTAACTGATACTAAACCACAAGTAATGCCAGATCTGAAAGTGACCAATTTGTGGCCCCAGATCTACTTGTCTCCAGATGGCCAACCTTGCTTTGATAGGCTGAGCCTTTCTGCAATTAATTTAGCCCATGGCCACATAGTTTTTCCCTACAGAGATTCTTGGGATGTTTCCTATTTAATTACAGCCCTATTATTAAGTTTCCTTGCAACATTTCTTCTATTAAGCTAGAGGCCTGGGCTAGTAAAATTTAAATCCTGCTGAGTTGCCACCATTTTTCTCCTGTGTTTGAAGCCGCTTCCTTTGTTTAACCCTTAGAACCTCTCTGGTAGAGGAGGGACAGGTGAGTTCAAGGGCCACCTATTGTTTCATAGGGACCTGACCTTTTTTCAATAGATCCCATTTTCCCATTTGGTTTTCTTTTTAAAAATTTTCTCAACGTTAACTTTCAAAAATGTATTAGAAAACATTTGAAAAACAAGACATCATTAAGGAGCAAACAACAATGCTCCAGATTAATCACTCTTCACATTTAGTTTATTCTCAGACTGTGTTTTTATCTTTTTTGTGTGTAGTGCATTACTTTTACTGTAAAAATGTAGCTTACTTCCACTAACAGGTGGAGGACTTACTGCTTTTTAAGATTCATTCATTTATGCATGCAGAATGGGGACACAGGCCAGAGGTGTGTGGGGGAAGGGAGAAGATTCACCAGAGACAGAATGGGCAGCAGAACAGGCAGATGGACTGAAATCCATGGCTGAGGGAGCAGCAGGTGAGATGGGAGAGGTCTGCTGCACCACGCCATGTGGTTCACCTGCTCTGAGGGGAGCAGCTGGCAAGACAGGAGAGGTCTGCTGTGCCATATAGGTCACCTCCTGGGGCCGGGGATCAAACTCTCACTGAAGCAGCTGCAGGTGGCTTACAGTGCTGCGTCTCAACCTGCTGCACCACCAGGAAGGGCCCTGCACATGACACTTTAGGGCCTGGGCTGAAGGATCAGCAGCTTTGTGGGCTGCACTCTTCTCTTGGAAGAGTGTGTCTGGTGAGTTAGCCTGCCTCTGAAGGCCTTCACTCAAAATTGGAGTACTGCCCTTCCAGCTACATTCACTTGGTCAAGGTATGTCACTCGGCTGAGGCTAACATCAGTAAGGTAGGAAGAAACCTCCTCGAGGGCCCATGGTGGTGTACTTGCCTGCTAGGGCTGTCGTGAGAAATGCCACAGACTGGGGGACTTGAACCCTGGAAATGTATTGTCTCACACTTGTGGAAGCTTGAAGTCTAAGATCAAGGTGTCGTCAGGCTGGCTCCTTTTGAGGCATCTGTCTGGTGTTCCCTTGCTGGCTGCTTCCTCTTTCTTCACATGCTGTTTCCTTTGTGTGTATCATGTCCTAACATCTTACAGAATCAGTCAGATGGGCCTGCATCCTACCCTAATGACCTCATTTAACCTTAAAGACCTCCTGAAAGATCCTGCAGGGCCTTTTAAGATTTATTTACTTATGCACACAGAACTTACAGTCACATATTGAGGTACTAGGAGTTAGGACTTAAATGTACAAATGGGGAGGTGACACAATTCATCTTATAAGGATAAGGATAGAGGAAAGGGGGAGAATTATAGACCAAGGATACCCTAATGACATCACTGCAGTCTCCTCATCTTTAAAACAGGGACAGGCCTCTCTGTGTTACGGGTTTATTTGGAATTGAATGAGCAAAAGCATGAAAAGCCCTAGCAGTGGAGGTTTTAGGGATGAATGGGGGTCTCTCAAATGGAAGCTCGCCTTTGGGGTCTGTCTCCCCATTCTCATATGGGCAAGCAGGGCTCATAGGGTACTTCTTAGAGTTGCCTGAGGACAGGAGGACTCTTCATCACATAACCGAACGGGCTTTTTGGGTGCTCGGTCTAGGGCGTTAGTGACACCTCCCATCCATGAACTGTGATTTCCACATCTCCTTTTTACCACCAATACTTAATTGAGGCCCTTCCGTGGCTAAATAGGGCCATGGGTTTTATATCGGCTCTCAAAGGACTATAGTCGAACGCATGCCCGTGAAGAAAATCGAATAGCAGGTCAGGTTAGGATGTGTTTCTCTCTTTGCCTCTGTGTTCGGAACCAACTGTCTCTCCGTTGTAAGTCTCTGTTTGGTTTTCTCTCCTAGACTATTGTGCTAAGGAATGGCACTGAGACCTTTGACACCTGGAAGAATCCCCCTCTGCCCGTGTATACGCAGTTCTATTTCTTCAATGTCACGAATCCAGACGAGATCCTCAGAGGCGAGATCCCGCGGTTAGAAGAAGTGGGGCCCTATACCTACAGGTGAGTCCTGACTGCCTCCTTCTGGAACTACGGCAAGACCACATGTGGCCTGAGTCCTCTCTTCCCAAGAGCGCTGTCCCTGCTGCCTGGGGAGCACGGGTTTTGTTTACATCTGTCTGAACTGTTGCTGGTCTTTGGCGCACACATGTGACATCTCAACAAAGAATGGCTTTGTGATGGGCTCAGTCTCATTCTGTTATGTCTCGAAATGCAGCTGTTCCTCCTGAGTTGGCAGAATATAGTAATTGAGCCATGTAGAGTTGTTCCCCAACCTCTCCCTTGGAAGGAGGCCCCTTGTTTTTCTTTTTCTTTGGTGACTTTTAGGGCCTTCCCCTATTTTCTGATCCCATCTACCTAGTTGTAGACCAATTTTCCAGAATCCATTAATTCTGCCTCTAAATCCTTCTCCCATCCCTCTTGAGTCTGAGAGATCACAGTGGCAGAGTGGATTAGAGTCCCTGGCAGTGGCCACCAATTCCAAATGCTGGTGAATTCAGAGAATTGCTTTAGACACATTTTAAAAGCTTACTAGGGGCCCTCCCTGGTGGTGCAACGAGTAAAGACGCAGCACTGCAAGCTAGCCGCAGCTGCTTCAGTGGCAAGTTCAATTCCCGGCCCAGGAGGTGACCCATATGGCACTGCAGACCTCCCCTGACCCTGCACCTCTGGCTTGTACCCCAGTTCTGTGTGCATAAATAAATAAATCTTTTAAAAAAGATTACTAGAGGGAGGTGCTTGCATTTCCCCTGTTGCAGTGTTCTCTAAATACCTCCTGGCAATGCTATTTCCAATAAGTATCTCCTTACCACATTTTAAGAAGTAGAGGGAAAAAATAGGGGAATTAGGCAGTAGGATATTTCTTCTGCAGAACGGCTATATGGTAAAATTGCATCATGCTTCCAACATAATTGATTGCTCAATAACTGGCTGCTGATGGACTCCTTTATTATGAGTCAGCGCTATTCCCGGTACTGGAATTCATGATAAAATCCTGGTTCCCGCCCCAGGTGCTTATGCTCTGCCTCTAGAGTTGAATTGTCTGTTTCAAATCCTGCCTCCCCCACTTACTGAGATAGATATATAGAGATAAGATTCCTTGTCTGCAAAGTGGGAATAAATATAGGGACTGCCACCTCGGGATTGGTGCAAGGATTCAATGAGTCAGTGAGTCAATATTTTTCAAGTGCTTAGATTAGTGCCTAGCACATAATTAGTGCTAATTAATGGGTGTTATTAGTCGTAGTC